CACCTAAGTGAAGCATATCTTTACTTGAGAATAACCTAAAACATGGATAATGTAAAGTGTGGGGTATGCTGCGATAAATTTCAAATGGTCATTTAGGAAATTTTTAGCCACTGGAAGATGAATAAAAAATAGAACATATTAGCATAAATATTTGAATAAGATGAGGAACCTAAAAGTAGATGACAAAAAATCACTGGTTAACTTATTTAAATTATAATTAATTAAAATTTAATAATTCAATTAAATTATCTTGATATTTACGGAGGTCTTTGTTTGACTAAGTATTATACTCACATGCTTTATTTTAATTCGATAAAGCTATTACCCTCTGCACAAAAAACATCTACTAATCTCTAGGTTATTCCAATTGATCTAAATGATGGTGAGCCAGATCAAAAATATTCGGAAATAACACTGAAAACAAACTTTTGTGTTCATGTCAAAAAAAAAAGATTTTAGAGGCGTAAAAGGCAGACTTCAAAACACATCTGCATCTGACTTAGATACGTATTTATTATCCGATTGTTAAATTATAGCTGGAATGAGAATAATATATTTTATTTATGAGTAGATATTCAAGACTACCAATAAATCATATATATTAAAAATAAGATCATAATTCTAGTTAGAAAAACGGATCTACCTTATCAGTTTACTGATGTAGATCATATATATATATACTATCCTATATTAAATATAATAGTAAAAATCCAGGCTGGTTGCAGCTGCATTCAAATAGACTTGTAAGTCAAAGAAATATTTTTTTAATATACATACTATATTATTTCATAAAATTAAATAAACTTGTGATAAGAGTTTTGGCGATAACAAAAGATGCATTTGTTGACTGCAACGTATTTCACTGAGCTAGTAATTTGCCTTAGAATCTCATAAAAGAGGACTTAACGAAGCAGGAAATGAGTTTGTTTTAAAACTTAAGAAATATAAAAATGTAGCCATATTTTAATTCACGCTTAAAATATGTTTTCACAAGAATACTTCCGTTCTATGCTCAATTTATCCTGAATGTAGTCCTATGACAAAAATTAATTTCCGAGTTGCCATGCACCAAATCGCAATTTTCGTTTCGCTTCCAGTATGAATATAAGAAATGTAATTATCCCAAAGAAATATATATGAATTGCACAATAAAGAAAAAAAAGAATAATGTATATTTAGCATGTACTCAAATCGCTTGCAAGTTTTTTTTAAGCAAAGGCTTATGATTGGATTCAGGGTTTTCGCTTGTTTGTTGCTGCTTTCATCTTGAGCTCATACTTGGGCTCCTATGTCCCCTTATTTTAAAGGTCTTTAAATATTTTAATTAAAACCTTTTCATGGATTAATTAGCAGAACTGATATGGAAAAATAGGGCATAATTTTTAGGTCAAGTAATATATTCAGATATAGAGAAAAGGTGAACTACTTCTTGGCTGATGCTCATTATGTATAGAAACTGGAATATCGGAGTATTACTAAGAGCCTTCAAATGATAAGATATCAAAATATTTGACTTAGTCTTCATAAACTTTGTGTCATAATTTAGCTGAGGATGCTGATATTACAAAATTATATTCGTAAGTAAGTAGGGTTTCGAAACTTGTAAAAATTATGTGATGTCAAAATAGTACAAAGAACTTTATTTAAGGAACAGAATCTTATTTTAATCCAACCTAGAGTGAAGAAAATATAAATCTTCATTCTTATCATCTATCCTCATTTGTTGTTTAAAGACAAAATTCTTAACTAAAAACTGGCTTTATAGGCAGTGAATTTGCTTAACTGCTTCCAGACTTCTTAACGATTATATCAAACACTTCATGCAATTATAAAACAACACACAAAATCAGCTAGAACTATCCCGATATTCCATTTAATTTTGTTAAAGCATTCTACAAAAAATGGCTAATCATTTCTTTTTCTGAGGCATTTCGAAAACAACTTTCATGTCAGTGCCGATATGATGAAAACAAAACACATAAAGCTTTTATAACTAACATTTTCCTTTGGCCATTGTTCCTTTCAGTCCCTCCTCGGCTTCGCAAAAATCACCACTGCTCAATCCCGAGAATTCTATGGTTGGTTGCAATGTAGTGTATGCATTTGGCTGAGCGAGAAAACGATCATCCTTTCCCGAATCGAGACGAGTACTGATCCCACCGCTAACACTTTGTGGCCTTAAGAATTTAGTATGTGTAATATGAGTATGCTGTTGTTGGCATGGGTGATTGTAGCAATGCTGGCTACTATTGTTATTACCAGTAATGGGCAGCGCTTTATCAAACTTAGGCTCTTCAGTGGAGCCCTTGTAAGTTAGTGCATTGTTTTTACTTGATTTATCTGCTGAGCATGCTGGCTGTGGCTGGTGGCAATTTGCCGTGGGTCCGCAATGACCTGAC